CCAGAAAAGCGCTATAGAAGTGTAAGCAATTATTATTATTATTATTAGCAGGAGCAGGAGTAGCAGTACACACGCAACCGCCAGAATAATAATAATAATAATAATAATAATAATAATAATAATAAGTTCAATGCAGAACAGAAGCTCTGCTCGGCGGGCGCACGCGGTGTTGCTATTTCAGGCGCTGAAACGGAGCCGCGCGCTTGGCTCCGGGGCCGTGGCGCGAGCGCGCCGTGTGACTGGGCCGTGGGCTCTATTTTTAACAGGTCAATGGAGCTGGCTGACTTTACCAGCGTGAAGGGCAGGCTGGGGAGGCTGGGCAGGCTGGCCAGGGACCGGTGTTGTCGGCTGGAGCGGCGCTGCGGGAGGTAAGCCGGCTCATCACGCTGAGCCCCCGGGGACCCGGGCAATCGTTGTTCATGACAGTTCACGAGCAGCATTGGAAAGTGAATCGGTGTAGTGTCCGACGGCTGTGTCACATGTCTTCTGTTGTTAACTGGTCTCAGAAGTACTGGCGCGCAGTGAAACATCTTCTGAAAGCGGGTTCCCTGTTTCGGGAGCCCCGCGGAGTGTAAGACACGTGTCTTCAGCGCGCTGTGGGTGTGAAATGCCCAGTTTACACCCAGCGGGAACCTGGCGCTCTCGGTGACCGTGTTTGCGAAGCTGAGGCTGCTGTCCATCCCTTTTGAAGGTTTGCCTATTATCTGGCGGTCAGGGCGGTCAGTGTGTCTGCCCAGCCGCTGTGTCTTCTGATCAAGGAATGCGCTTGTTTCCGCACTGAATTCAGGCAGGTGGCACAGGAAGTCAAACCACGCGTGTTCTGGAGACTCGGGGGGTCGGGGCCCGGTCGTGCACCAGCGGCGTGACGAGGGGAGGGGAGGGGAGCCGGGGTCCCTCTCGCGCCTGCCGAACCCCCGCTGCGGCGGGTCACGAGACAGAGCCTCCCGGAAGGGGCTCCGGCTATTTCAGGATGGGTCGCTCGGATTTCCAGCTCCAGTCCACTTCCGGCCGGCCCACCCCCTCCCCACCTCCCCTTGTGTCGCTTCCAGGAAGCAGCTCCCCTTTTAAGTAGCCCCCAGCCTTTTAATTACCCCCCCCCCTCCACACACTATTCCTCTTTGAGAATCCTGCTCGTCTCTGCAGCCTTCTGTTGGAACAACTTTCTGTTTAAACCGGTGGAATAATCAGGAGGCAGACTCTCGCACCTCAGGTGGCCGGAGGCGACAGGCTGGATCTCCGATGAGGAGTAAAACTGCTCGTCTTGTTGGGGTCATAGACGTAAAAAAGAAAAGGACCCGTGTTTAAATGATCGTCCCCACAATACGCCATGCGTGTACTGAATATCAAAACAGAATTTTGTCTGAGCTTTTTTTATACAGTATGTACATCTTGTTCATAATATAGTCATTTCAAACTGGGCAGACAAGAACAATCACATTTAT